GATGTATCATTCCGAAGGCTTGTCAGGGATCGCAGAGTGACGGTTGCTGCTGCTTGACCTTCCGCAGCAGAAATATCCTTCTTCTGCAACGTCTTGCTCAGGTTCTCGGCAAGGCCAAGAATTTTGCGTCCCAGCATAACTCCAAATAGGAAACTGAACAGCGAGAACTGGTGTGCAATTCCACTGACACGAGCTGACATCTCGGCATCATACGTAGCCATTGACTCAAACTCGGTAAGGCTGGCTTGCAGGACGGAGTAGTTGCTAACAATGCTAGCGAGGGAGGCTGAGCGAGTGGTCCATCTTGTGGGGCATAGCGTTCGAAATCCTGCTTGGTCAGGAGCCATGTCATCCTTGAGCCTTTGATATGTGGCATTGCGCTTCGCAGAATATTTCAGAAGTTTTGACAACTCAAACACGGTGTTAAGACAATCCTTGATACACTTGATGTCTCGAACCATATCCTGGCAAGCTAAATTTAAGGCATGCCCGTAGCAATGAGTGTATAACGCTTTGGGGTTTATCTGTAGTAGCTGTGCTGCGACTCCATTTCGATGCCCTCTCATGACAGATGCCCCGTCATAACATTGTCCACGGCAGAACTCTAATGGTAGGTTGAGTCTTGTGCACACGTCCTTGATCATGCCAAAAATCGTGGCTGCATCGGCTTTCTCCAGCGCATACATGCCAATAAATTCCTCGTGTGGTTCCAGCTGGTCATCCACCCAACGAAATACGGCAGTCATCTGCTCAATAGTGCTAGAGTCGGTAGTTTCGTCCACCATGACTGTGAAGAACTGACCCTGCATTTCCTCGATAATTCCACGCAGTATCCTGTGAGCCATGACCTGCAGGATCTCATTTTGCATATCATGGCCAGTGTATTTGCTGCTTTTGCGTTGCAACCACTCTGCAAAAGCTGGGTCACTGGAGCTGGTGAGCTTTAGAAGCTGACTGAAATTGCCATCTTCTTCCTGCGGACCATCACCACGCATGGGAAGTCCTTGTCTAGCGAGGAATCGAAGAGCAGACAGAATCTTCAGGAAGGACTCCCGGGCAGCCCTTTTGTCCTCCGCAAGTTTGGACGACAAGAGTTCACCCACGTCTTTCGTGGTGCGAGGGAGGCTGAGCGAGTGGTCCATCTTGTGGGGCATAGCGTTCGAAATCCTGCTTGGTCAGGAGCCATGTCATCCTTGAGCCTTTGATATGTGGCATTGCGCTTCGCAGAATATTTCAGAAGTTTTGACAACTCAAACACGGTGTTAAGACAATCCTTGATACACTTGATGTCTCGAACCATATCCTGGCAAGCTAAATTTAAGGCATGCCCGTAGCAATGAGTGTATAACGCTTTGGGGTTTATCTGTAGTAGCTGTGCTGCGACTCCATTTCGATGCCCTCTCATGACAGATGCCCCGTCATAACATTGTCCACGGCAGAACTCTAATGGTAGGTTGAGTCTTGTGCACACGTCCTTGATCATGCCAAAAATCGTGGCTGCATCGGCTTTCTCCAGCGCATACATGCCAATAAATTCCTCGTGTGGTTCCAGCTGGTCATCCACCCAACGAAATACGGCAGTCATCTGCTCAATAGTGCTAGAGTCGGTAGTTTCGTCCACCATGACTGTGAAGAACTGACCCTGCATTTCCTCGATAATTCCACGCAGTATCCTGTGAGCCATGACCTGCAGGATCTCATTTTGCATATCATGGCCAGTGTATTTGCTGCTTTTGCGTTGCAACCACTCTGCAAAAGCTGGGTCACTGGAGCTGGTGAGCTTTAGAAGCTGACTGAAATTGCCATCTTCTTCCTGCGGACCATCACCACGCATGGGAAGTCCTTGTCTAGCGAGGAATCGAAGAGCAGACAGAATCTTCAGGAAGGACTCCCGGGCAGCCCTTTTGTCCTCCGCAAGTTTGGACGACAAGAGTTCACCCACGTCTTTCGTGGTGGCAGGTACTGTTAGCAATCGTTCTACAGCTTCGCGGTGGCACTCGGACGACTCGTGCCTCCTGAAGCTTGTTGTCGCATCCTTCCAGTTCTGGAACCCCTTCGTCAGAAACGCACCATCAGCACAGCTAGCGATCAAAAGTTTCTTCGAAACAGCCAAGCAGCAGGTATGGCAAAACGCACGCTCGCTCTTTGAATCCCAATGTAGCCATTCCCAAGAGGAGAACCAACTCGGCTGAAAGGAGCGGCACACAACATTCTTCACACCAAATGCGACAAGAGGAAACGTAAGGTCACGCGGTTGAAAGGGTTTGTCCTCCACAACTAGAACCCGCTCCAACTGAGCACTCAAGCTCGGTCCGGCATGTTTTGACAACGCCATAACGCCATCAGGATAACGGAACACGAACTGTAATTGCAACTACTCGCACTCGTAGTGCTGGAACGACTGGAGTCAGATGTATCGTGCAAGTGTCATGACATTATAATTGTAGTCCTAGATCCTGTAGACCGTATACGCGTAGATCAACTACAGTCTACAGGAAGTAAGTTAGTTGCCCACGCGGCTGTAAACTACTCCTACAATACAAGAAGTAACATTTCCGTTGCCCTCAGCAGGCCTGTGTACACGCTACACGTGCCAACGGCCAGTCTTCCGGCCCAAACACGATCCAAGTATCCCAAAGTAGTTGACCACGGATCACGAAGGCAAGCCAAATCTGGGGTCAAGACGTGCATCGTTTTGGTGGTGCGTAGAATCTACTACTACTACTAGATCTACATGTACATGATATGACCTCACGTCGATTTCCATCCTGTCCTCAACCGACTCCCGGGATCCCGATTAGATCGTGAGCTCAGTGCAGTGTACGTAGGTCTACGTGTATGCTACGCTTGACGGCCTGATACGGCCAGGGCTATAGGTGTACCGGTATGTAGATATCTCTAACATGCATGCATGCAGTGTAGACATCTACGTGTGCGCACATTTTGTCGAAAGACCGATCATTTTTTCGGCTTCCTCGTACAGCATTCACGTAGATGTCTCTCGATCCGGATCGACGCTCGATCTTGTGCTTTTCGCTCGTTTCCTGTTGACTCGCGTATGTATTTTCGATAGGATGGAGGAGAGACCGATGCTGCAGTGCTTTGGTGGAAGGTGAGGTCGTGCATTGAACGATCCTTGTCACAAGTCCAAGCCCTGACCCTCTGAAATTTTTTACACCGGTTTTGCATGAATCAGGTGGACCACCCAGCTGGGAAAAGTGGTCCGGCCATGGCCGGACCAGCCGGACCGGTTCCGGCGGCCCTGAGTACAGCCTCAGCCCGTTAATGTACCAGGCCCACGTGACCATTTGCGCAGAAATGCTGGTCCGCCTGCCTGGCACCGTGACTACGATATGTAACTGGTACACTGACTGTCCGCTCTGGGTGACTCCAGTTTAATTTAGGATGCTATGGACTTGGATTGCGATAATACATTAGGCAGTTCATTTTGTACAGATTTCTAAGTGTGTGTGTGTGTGTGTGTGTGTGTGTGTGTGTGTGTGTGTGTGTGTGTGTGTGTGTGTGTGTGTGTGTGTGTGTGAGAGTGTGTGTGTGTGTGTGTGTGTGAGAGTGTATGTGTGTCAATGAATAGGTGAGTGAATGTGGTGTATTGTATGTGGTGTAGTGTATGTGGGTCAAGCCCATGTGAGACAGTCCATGTGTGACTGTGCATGCCCGTGTGCGCATGTGTGCCGGCATGATTGCGAGTGCGTACGTGCGTGAGAATGTGTGTCCTATTTTCTTCATATTTAATTTGGTATATGCCGTGTTGCTTTGAATTTGGTGTGTGTTGTGTTGATGTATTCACTTGAAATCGGGGACGATTTATTTTCGTAGGGGGGAGTAGTGTAGGAGTTGCATTTTGATAGAAAGTATATTTTTCGCAGTAAAAGAGTATTTATTTGTAGAGCTTGTGTTGATACAGATTCCTAGGTTCAAACCCCAAGATGGGCAGTTAGTTACATTTTTTCTCTCCTTGCGTATTTTGTATCTGCATGTTATTACCCTTTCCGTGAGTCGCTCGTGAGTAATGTATGAGTCGTGTATGGCTAAACCCGTATTTACCCGTATGACTGCTGCTAGTGTTATTGTTCTAGACCATTAGCATAATTAACCAATCACAGTTCACAGCTCTGGAATATTCTAGAATTTCGTCGGCAACCGGTTTATATAGATTGCTCATTGGTTGATGACCTAAAAACATGGCTGCCGTTCGCCGCGTGTTTGTCTTCTTGCATTGTTCTTTTCTTGTGCTCCTTTCACTTCTTATCTTTACTTGCCGAGTGTGTAACTAATAATTCTGTCCTAACGAGTATTCGTGAAACCACAAAGTGAGTGCTTTGTTTGAGTGTGTGAAATTGTCTCCGAGGGCCAGCTACTACACAGCCATATCCTTGTGCGCGACTGCCACGCGAATGTGCATGGTCGAGATTTGGGTGACCCCGAAGCATTCATGTTGGATAATCTATTGACTGATTGTGCCCCTCAGAATGTCCACCATGCAGATTCAGGATGCGCTGGCAGCTGGAGATAGTGCGTGGAGTGAAGCAATCGATAACGCTAGTGCACCATGGCCAGAGGTAGCCCAAGCACAAGCAATGTGTAACAGGCTAAATTGCAGCTATAGGCTAAGAATCAGTTTTCATAGCCATAGCACATTTTCGTCGTGAGGGATGCCACAACTAACTACTTGAATCTCTGGCACAGGTAAACGGTCAGGACATAAAATTTGTTTGTTGAATAGTAGTAGGTATTCGACTGATTGTTCATATGGAGTTATCATCCAGTTCTCACTTTCTCTGTTTATAACAACAGCTAGGGGTTAGTTAGCACTACCTTCATGCGGATATTTTATTGGCTCCTGCATTGGCCTGCTATGCTCTCGCTTCATTAATTTTGATGTCAGGCCGTGACTTAAAAGAAGTTTTTGATTCGATTGAAAATTAACGTTTCCACCATACAGTATAAAGTACTATGCAATGCTCTCATATTTTCGCGTTCCGGGCCTTCGCTTGTTTAGCCAGAGTGAAATTCAAACCATAATTTACTGCAGCCCGTAAACTGTTGCCATTTAAAGGGGCACTGAGGACCCAGGCTGGGAACCCACCAGTTGGAGAGTGTGGAGTTGGACCTTTCCAGTGGTTGTGTGGTGGTCAAGTGGAATCAAACTAGGACATCTGAATGATCCAGCTGCACATCTTTGAATGATCGATGTACCTACAGTGTAACTACAGTGTACCCAGGGACCTACCGGTTGTATTCTTACCACTTCTGCAGCCTTATATTAAAAAAATGTGAAATAAAATTTGCTTTTAGAAAGGATGGAGCCTATGGACAATTTTGATATTGGATGATTTCAAGTTTCCTATACTAGTTGGTGCCGGTTCTCATTGAAGTTGGAGGGGAGATGCCGCCGGCTTCGACTGGCTGAGGCTGATTGACCATTGGCTATCAAATCAATTGAAATTAAATTAATAATAGAAATTTGAACTAGAGTACCAGTACCAGTAACAGTTTGGCACACAAGAACGAACCTACGTACCTAGCACGGGTTTGCATGCTTCTCAGAGATTAGGCTGTGGGCTGCCGAGTATGTGCCCGCTAAGCCACACATTATGCCAAAACCAAACACTATCAAGAAGACTGCAATCTCCGCACGATGCAAAGGCCTACCAGTAGCCGCCATCAGCCGGTAGTAGAAGAAAGGAGGGAATAGAAAGTGGTTCATTGTCATCGTGGATGATCCAATCAGCGAGGCATACTTATTAAATGCTGGGACAGCCAGACCGATTCCAAGGGCAACCAGTAGGGATGAGATGCGGACCAAGATGTGGCGGAAGTTGATTTCTGCAGGTGAACAGATATAACGGGTTTATTTAAAAAAATTGTTTTTACAATGATCATAGCTCAGAGGCAAACCATGTTACACTTCTTAGTCACAATGGACACATGATAGCAGCAATACAGAAGCATCACGCTGGAAATAGCACCAGAACAACCATCACAGACCATCATGCATTGTCCTCGAGATATCTTGAGTAACTTACTCAACTGCTATGCGAGGCTGGCTCGGGTGAGGCGGCTAGCATGGTGCACCGAGGCACTGCATGGGCCCAGATCTACCAACACGAGGCTGCGCCCTGCTGCAAGTCCTTAAGCCATCCAGTTCACATTAAGTACGACTGCTCACTACTGCCAGTGCTAGTATATATGTAATGTATGCAATGCAGCAACTTGCTTTGTGCAGCACAACCAACAGAAAGGTCATGGAAGTTCCATGTTTTCACCACACACACAAGCACGCATGCATTCACACATGCGTGCCCACACCCGCACACTTTCTCACTCACACGCACACACACACACACACACACACCCACACACACACACACACACACACACACAACACACACACACACACCCGCACACCCGCACACACACACACACACACACACACACACCACACACCACACACCACACACACACCACACACCACACACACACCACACACACCACACACACACACACGCGCGCGCGCGCGCGCACATACAGGCCTTGAAAGTGCCACAGCATAGGCAGCCCAGAGTCATGACAACGCTGACTTCCGGATCCGCTTGGATTCAGTGTTTTTATGGATCCATACATGGGTGAGTGGTTTCCGGTTCAGGGAAAGGAAAATCGTACAGCAGAGTGCACCTAAGTTTGTACCGGTGTAGAACCTTACTGTAGAACCTTAGTGTACTAAGGACACAGTTTGTATGGAGCTCCAAGGTAAACTGAGAACGGATTGACTGCATAGCGTGGAATGTGTGCAGAAGGTATGTGTCATACTTGTACTTGTACGACTTACAGACAGGACACCGCCTCCACAGCTCGACAACGAGTTGGTGGGGTGCTTCTGCGATACTCCATGGTACTTTCCCCTCCTAACATTACGGTGTCCTAGGGTTGAAATGAACACAGTCAACCTTACAAAAGAAGACATTCGCTAACCACAAGAATCACGTTGTTATTCCTGCGGTGCAAGTACATCCTGAACTGCAGTATTTTGATATGCAAATCATGTTTTTTTCCAAATCGGGTCACTACATACATAAATGGCACCGTGCGAACAACAGCATGATTATTGTGACTGCCTGATTGTCATCCTTTGCAAGGTTTGAGTATTCATTTCAACCCTGGGGTAGTGTAATATCAGCCGGGCCAAGTACAGGAGAACCACTACATTTTTTTAGTAGACTGCTGTAACCAGGAGTCTTTGCTTTACACAAACATGAGTGCCGGGCTATGCACACTTTTTTCGACCTTTTTGACGCGCATCGCCAGAGGCGATGATAGCGATGCTACAGCAGAAACCATAGCAACTTGTGCTGGGATTCCACACACACTCCTGCACACACGCACACACACACACACACACACATGTACACACACACACGTGCACACACACGTGCACACACACACACACACATGCGCGCGCACACACACACACAAACGGTGCACATGTGCAGCAATCTTACTGGTCAGCGGTAGATCCAACACCTCCTCCGCTTCCTGAGTGAATATTATCAGCCCAGCCAACGCACCAAACAGATTGAAGATGATCTGGGCCACAGCCGTGGCCTTGGCTACAATCTGTATGGCATGGGATTGCTGACATTGGACGTTGAGTAGGATATTGGGATTGGAGAGAGTACCGAATGTCTCCACACCCAGCACACCAGTAGCCAAGCACAGCAGTATAGCGGTGACATAAGCAATGGCAAGGGCATGGGGCAGGCGAGACGGCTTGCTCATGTCGTGCTGGATGGTCACAACCTGGCTGGCAGAGGCGAACGCAAAGATTATCGTCGACGTGCCCAGCCAGAACGAGCCAAACGTTATCGGCGCGTGGCCCACCCGATTGACGAGCAAGTGCGGGTCTGACGAGAAGGACACCGTAGTACCACCTGCCATCTCTGGTTCTGTTCGGCTGTGTTCAGACAGCATGCTTACATTCACGCTTGAATACAATAGAGTAGAGTTAGTCGGCGATAAGAAAGGCGCACCGTGACCGTGACCGTGGACGGTGTTTTCTGTGGACAGCCGACTCATAACCAGTGCAGCCAGCAAACCGAATGATGACAGAAGCGTACTCGGTGCACCCAGGTAGCGCAGCAGCCACGAGTCCATCATGTTTCCAGCGCAGATTGGAACAAGCAGAATTGCTCCCCAGAACGATGCCCAGGCTCGATCAGAGAAGCGCTCCGGTACCAAGACTTGCGATAGGGATGCCGCCACGAGCAGCATGACTACACCAGTGCCCATATTGGTGAAGGCGAGAGACATACGCACGGCTATCTCCCAGCTGCGACCCGCCGCTTCCTTGCCGATTTCGGGAAACGGTCTCCTCACTCGCCGTTGACTGTATTTCTGCGGCCAGGTCTCCATCAGTATCACCCAGCACTTGCCCAGTGTGACGTTCATGTACAGCATAAGCAATGGTCCCAGAACTAGGAACATTACTCCACCTAATAGTCCAGTCTGCGCCAAGGCGTAGGGCATGGTAAGAGTGAACACTATCGCTACCATAATTATTCCACTGCTCGTGAACACGCCCATGCCTGTGGAGCGGGAGAAGTCGTCTTCTCCCGCTCCACGTCCACTGTCTTCTCGGCTACAATGACCGGCGTTTGCGTCACAGTCTTTCGCTGGTACTAGCTCCGCTCCGTTTGTGGGCAACAGGTGTTCGCTTTCCGACATGTCCGGTGGCTCGCCGCCATGGGCGGAAACATCGTCCCCGGTCGACATGCTCGTTGACCTTCCGGTGCTGGCGCAACAAAAGTATTAAGCTGGGTTCCAGCTAGCTGCCCAGAGCGTCCGGGAAACGGCTCGCAGGCTTCCACTACAAATTACAATGATTATGTAGTTCCAACGGTGTCGTTAGCGGCCAGTGTCGTCAGCACGGCAGTGGGTAAGTCCGCCAGAATAACTAGGTATTATTCGACATAATTATTATACTATATTATAGGTTTGTGTCGGTATCGGTTCTCTACATTTGCAGGAAGGCCACTTCTGTATGATCACTCAACAACAACATTCGTCTTGGTGGAACGTTCGAATGGTTGAAGCACAACTGAACTAGTAATAGTACTATGAGAGTATTTATATTACTTTTTGCATTTACACTTCTTCCGAAAAATCGGCCTCTCTCTCTCTCGACTCGTAGTCACGTAGATCTACGTGAAGAAGATGACAGAGCTAGCGTTGACCTGTTCACTTGGTTCACGGGTGTTGGCCTAGCGCTAGCGGCTAGCATGCAGCACTAATCTTAGCACACTGTAGATATTTCTGTCAGTAGTACAGTAGATCTACTCATACCTGAGCCTGAGGAGGAGTGAGGCCTCGACTGCTCGAGGGTGCATGCTGAACTCTTCTCGTCTGGGGGGGGGGGGTCTTGCCTTGGTCACAGCATGGCACCTGCTTGTTGATGCTGATATGAACGTCGTCATCTGGTCATGCAGCGAGGGCACTACAAGTAATATAGTTACAACTGTCGCCTCGGTGTGTGTATTAGACCAATCCCGAAAAGATTGTCTGGGTTCGAAAGGGGGCTTATCACATATCAGGTGACCGTTTCCTAGGAATGGGCCAATCACTGCCCTTCCTAGGCGGGTGATATAGGCCGATATCACCCCTGCTGCTCCATATCACCCCTGCTGCTCCATATCACACCCGGCTGCGTACCTAGTACAGTACCCATTGGTACTCACATACTCGAATGCGTACTGTAGCTGAAACTGCATATTTAGGATTTCACTGCCGTCGCCAGCCCCCCCCCCCCCCCCCCAGCCCTTCTTCGGCCAGCTGGCTTGGGATTGTGGGAGGGGGTCTATGTGGAGGGGCTAGTGACAACAATGAATTCCTTACATATGCAATTCCATCTATAGTACGCATCCAAGTTGACCTACCATGAAGAATGACAAGGCCGAGGGTAAGCACAAACAGAAACTTACCATTCTTCTTCTAAAGCTTGTCCTTATCGTGTCCTCGTGAGAAAAATGGCTAGCTTTGATTTCGGCGTTTGTGAAGGTGACTTGGAAGATCAAGAGCTTTTAGAGGCTGCTGCAAATTATTTCAATTTTTTATCACCCAGCGAACTAGCCGAAGTGTCTGATTTTTCTTTATCATCAACCGCAACTGCAACTTTGTCGAATGGCGAAGTACTGGAGAAGACCACCACGGAAAAACGTGTAACATCCGAGCCAAGTATTGTAGAAGAAACGTCTCAACGATTTGTGCAAGTGTCGGAGGATGAGATCGACAGAATCCGAGAAAGCCGTGTTTCAACCAACACGAAGCGAGCCACCAACGTGTCTCGGATGTTTGGTGCACAGTCTATAAGAAAAAATGTGATCTGAAAACCATCTCAGCTACCAACCTTGCCTCAATCCTAAAGCATGCGTATGTGGAAATTAGGCAGATCAACAAGCTTTCGTACTCCAAGAACAGTTTGCTGCAATTCCGCAGTGCTATTCACCGCCAGCTACAAGACCTCAAGCGTAACATTATGGTAATAATAACTTTATTAGGATGACTCAAAGGCAAATCGCCTATCGAGGGGTTCACCGCGTTGAATGGTTGGGGTATGACAAAGCAAAGAGGCAACCATTGTGTGTGTGTGGGGGGGGGGGGGGGAGCTTCGAACTATGCACAGTGAAGGGATAATTGTATGTACATAACCAAGGAAAGGGTATACCGGACTAAGACTGGAAAAACAACCCCAAGCATCTCACCTACCTTGTCTGGTTCGTCATCACATATCACAGTGTCTCAGGGGTTCAGAAATACAAGTGCCTAACAGCTTACTTGCAGCCTAGCGAGCAAGATAAGATTGCTACAGCTCGCCTGCTCAATGCGGAGGTTGATAAAGCTCTGCAGGAGTCAACTCCGGCTGAATTGGAAGCCTTGGAAAGGCCACAAGTACCACCAGCCTCGCCAGCCTCATCGTGTGTCAGTTCGGAGAACAGCGCAAAGTTCATCTTCTCCGGAAACTTCGCAGGCGCTGTTCACATCCACGTTCATGATGTCAAAGCCTGTGAGCGCGCTAATTCTCAGATACAGTGCAGTATATTGCTTCATTTTCATCATCTTCTCTTCTATCTCTATTTCCTGGGACTCTTTTACATTGATGTCCTTTCACTTCTGCTTAGACTTCAACTAAAACAATTCGAAGCTTTGAATATTTCTGTCCCGCGAATGATGTGTCAGACGGGGGTGAATGGGTGTGGCATCGGAGAGGGTCTCCACACAATGTGATGTCCTATTCAGTTCACAGGGTCAAATCTACTACATGTACAGTAGTGGGTAGTACTACAATTGTAGTATCATGTTTATGTTTATGGACTCGATGTACACATGTAGCATGTGATAAGCAGGATATGACGGTCGTACGTGTTAGGTTCGTAGGGTCATATGTGATAAGTAGAATATCACCCTCGTAGCTCGGGTGATACCGTACCCTCATATCAATCCCTTCTGCTTCGCAGTCGGGATTGATATTCGCCGGTATCACCCTCGTACTCATGAGATATTCTTTACATGTCAACTGAGAGTACACTGTACAACACATACATGCCAACATGGCACTACCTGATCAGCATGCGGCACAGGACGTGTTTGATAGTTCGCGTGTGAATGCGAGGGTAAGTAGAGGAGACGGCTCGATACCGGGACGTTTTGACAGCCAAATTTGTATAGACCCAAACCGATCATCAGCGTTGATTTTTCACTCGAAATATGTTTGTGGAAGGAAACTGGCATGTTGAAGTTTGCTCTGGGGCCAGAGTCAATCGAACTGAGCCACTCCTTTGTGTTGACCCATTGCCTCCAAGTTGCCCAATTTTTCGCTTCAAAAAAAGTTCAAATCAGAGGTGGCTCCAAACCGGACACGTTTTAGAGTGCCCGTCAAATTCACTCTGGGTCTGAAATTAGGTAATTGCTATCACTCCACGACGGCCAGTACAGAGTAACAATAAGCCTTGTGTGTGCTTCCATTAGTTTTGATTGGTATGCGGTGCTTTATTGGCGAGAGGCGAGCCGCTGTTTACCTGCGACAAGAAGTTGATTTTTCGAAAGTCGTAAAACTCAAGTCGCAGTGCGAAGCAACACGTCAAAAACTCACCTGCTTGATATGGCGCTTCTGGTCATCGCAGAGCCATGAAATTTTGGCTCGGAGTATAATCGTAGATTCCGCTAGGACCCGCAGGGTCCGACGTGGAATCGGGGTTACACGAGGAGTGAAGGCGAAGAATGTGACAGTGTGTTTGGCCTCAAATCGCTCTAGTTTTCCATAAATTTCCAGCGGTTTAAAGATAAAAATGCAAATGCACGCCTTGATTGCACCTAGCACCTCTTGCTTTCTTTGGCCTTTTCTGAGCGACCAAAATGATAGTGCAATCAAGAGTAGTGACAGTGAGGGGTGGGTGACACCAGCACAATGGGCGGGAACACACTGTCACATTCTTCGCCTTCACTCCTCGTGTAACCCCGATTCCACGTCGGACCCTGCGGGTCCTAGCGGAATCTACGATTACACTTCGGAGCTTCGGCTTCGAATGTGACAGTGTGACTTTTAAAGTGATCCACCACCTCAACCACGGCAAGTGCGTAGCCAAGCATTATGCGCGAAGGAGAAGCGCGCATGTGGAGTGAAGGAACAGGCATCTCGCAGAGTGACTGATATAAAGTAAAAATGTCTCTATGTATCGAGGATACACCATATGTACAGGTGCCCTTCAAGTCGGAGACAAGAAGGGAGAAAAGGGTGACAGTAAATTAAAAACGACTAGCACAGGACACAGATAATAATACTGCGACACTATGGCGACACGACATGCAGCCAGCTGCTTCAGCTCGTCTGCCAAGCCCTTGTTGGTAACGAAAGCCTGGTACATGGTGGGTCGGGCACAAGGTACACGTGCATGCAGTACCGGCGTATCCGCCATATCAGTACTAAACAGTACGAGACTGATCTGGTTGCTAGCTATGGTTGCGTAGATATTCCAGGATACGTATGATGAAATGCTATCCACAGTAGTAAATTACAGATATGGTTACTTGGACCTGCCGTTGTACGGAAAGGGCCGCGCTGATATGCACATATCACATGGGCAATGAATTGATCCCAGTTATGGATGCGGCAGTAATCGGGCAAGGCCGTGGCTGCCCAGACCAAGAAGGGGGTGGTCCCTCGCGGTGCCCGAGGTGGGCACTAACTTGAGTAGTGGAAGGCAGTATACCACAAGTCATAGCGTACACGAAGGCAAGTGTACAGGACATTGCACTCTTGGCACTACGCTCAGCAGATTGCTGGAGCGCCCGTGTCCGTACGTGCTCCAGCCACCGAAGGTCAGACCGCGGTATGGCAACAGTAAAAGTGTTATATGCTTCACCACTTCGAGGTTGCTATCACAAAAAGTGCTTGAGCAATAGGAATGGCAGTACATTGTTGGCACTGCACAAATGGCAACCATTTGATGTTTATTTTTCATTGCTCACAGAGGTGCGTCAGCCACCTCTAACATCGTGATCATGCTTCCAGAACCATGTATCTACATACAGGTAAACCTGCCTTAACCGGACGCCCGTGGTGCAGCGGAAACTGGTCTATGACATTATTCCGCATGACACAGGGATGCACGTTCGATCCACAGCCCTTTGGTGCAGAAACATTTCCCGGTCAACACGGGATTCTGCTTGGTATAGGAGCAAGCAAACACAGGTAGAACTGTACTTGCGAAACAACAAATTGAGCATGGCAGAACGGCATTAAGTTATGGTCGTGACTCTGGGCATGAAACAAAGCACTCGCCGGTGCTTGCAAAGCCACGAGACCATTGTTCATCACCAATGGACTGATGGTTAGAGTGTGGCAAGGCCCCCGACAGGGCCTGCCCACTGGCGTGACGGAAGCCACCATATCTACAATGACCGCACAGTCCACAGACATGGGTGGATGCGAGTTAGGCACAGACATTGGAAAGGCACTCCTGCTTTTCATGAAATTGCCCTGACCACACAAGGCACGACTCGGGGCAAGAAACAAAGCACTCGCTGGTGCTTGCAAACCCACGAGACCATCGTCCATGGATAGTGGATGGATG